TTCTTGGTGTTTTAACAGTGTGGGAATCCATCCTGGTGACCTTTCCCGCATTACACTGTTGGGGAGCTGCTCTAACAGCTAACCACACATGCACACATCTGGTCTCCTCATTAGCAATTAGAAAAGAGTCTTATCCTGGTGTCAGCAGGACTTACAGTGTGGTTGGCACATCCTGTATCACCACAAAGTATTTTTTTCTCCTCTAAACATTTGTCTGTTATTTAGATCATCTGTCAATGTGGATTCATTCTGAATCCCACCTACTCAAAAAATCAGCAATGGATTCCCCTTAAGTAGTAGATGGACATCTGCTTTTAAATTATAGTGTACAAAATGCGGAGAAACGCTGTTTGGAAAAAAGAAGACCATCTTTTGACTTCGTCTTTTAAAAAAGTGTTTTTTGAGCATTTGGTTTCCTTCTGACGAGGCTGCTTTGATAATTTAATCAGAGAAATGTTGGATTTAGGGGGGTTTCCAGATGAGGCTTGGAAAATGTATAGCTATCGTTATGTCAGAGCTCAACTATTCACACAGATAAATGACTCAGCCTTGGAGAATTGTAGAACAAGAGGAAGCTCTTTTTAAAAGAGTCCTGAGATATAGTTGATGTATTTCAGCTGAACAGGAGACAGACCTGATTTGTTATTACTGAGCTGAAGGAGGTTGAAGAACACTTAAAAAACTACTTTGTCACTTTTAATTGGAGAAATGCAGTTTATGTTGCTTACAACAAAGCACATTGTATTGAATTTAGAAAAACTACCTTTTACTTAACTGGAAAACTCAGGTTCCACTGATTTTAAACAGTACCAGCTCAGTTTAATTGTCATGAGGAGAAGCACTTAGCCTGTGGAAACAGTTGGAGGATCTTTGCACAGTCTGAGAAAACATCAGTCATCTCGCCTTGGGCTTGGAGATGACAGTTTTATTACAAAGTACCTGGTGGCATGGAATTTGAAAGACATCTAGAGACAGTGAAATGCTGTGGAATTGCTGCTTAGGAAGTGTAGCATCCAGTGTTCAACCAATGCAAAGGACAGTGAGTCAGAATAACTCTGCTGCTTTGTTTTTGACCTTGATGTTTTTCATCTGTGCCTCAGAAGCTCCCATCTTTGTGAAGTGCAGTACTGACTCACTGGAGCACCCCTTTAGTAACAGCCACTGCACAAGCTCTGACTTATGACTGTATGATACCAATCCATCAGTTTCTTTGCACCAATTTACCTAATAAAAATAGCTAAAAGACGAGGATGAAAATAGGCTGTTTAAGCTGAGAAACAAATCTGCAATCTTTACTCACAGTTTTATATTCTGGTCCACTGAAGCTCTTAATCTAAATATTTAAATCTAAAGATGCAATGTGAACAATGTAGAATATGTCTGGATCTTGCCCCGTTTCCATTAAGAGAGACAGGAAGACTAGCAAACATATTAGCAGAACAGTTTTATAGTGAAGAATTTTATCAAAAACATCTAAAGGATTTATGTCTCCATTAACATTTGGAGACAAGAGAAAAACAGGAGACAGACAAAATAAAGACTCACAGCAACAAGTGAAAATTCACTTAAGAGAATCTTGGAAAGTGGAGTAAAATTCAATACGCCATAGTCCTGTCATTGCCACTGGAGCAAAAGATGCGAAGTCTCACTTCAAAGTTGAGGGAGATCAAACACAAGTGCATGCAAATGTGATTAATTTTCACAGTATGAGAGTCATACTGAGAGCCAGTTGGCACAGCTCAGGGTTCAGCTTTCAAATACCGAAGACCAACATAAAACATAAAGATGTTACTGTAGTGACAGACAACAGTTTACAAAGCAGAATGTGGTTGTCATGGATTCATATCATCATCTGACATTTACCCTCAGTGGGCATCAATTTTGTTGAACTATCCATGACACTTTGAAACCTAGTCCTGCCCTGAGAGTGTTCACTCTCTGTGCCCTGCAAGTGTGTGTGTGTATGTGTGTGTGTGTGTGTGTGTGTGTGTGTGTGTGTGTGTGTGTGTGTGTGTGAGGTTAACAGTCACCCTTCCTTGCAGCTGGAAACAACTATTACGGAAGTATGGCACACCATGAAATGAAATTCCACTAAGGAGTGTGTAGAAGTGGTGGTTAGTACTGTAAACAGGCACTCACACTTGCACACATACATACACACTCCTGCTTATGAGGGCCACTATCAGTTACTGTTATTCCCCTTTAGTTTCCATGTAAACACAAACAAAGGAGGAAATAAAAGTTCAAAATACTCACGGTGTCATTAATCTCATAACAGTTCCTTCTCAATCATGTCCCACTTTTTTCCCCTTGAGTCACTAGTTCTAAGTGTACATACAATGTCGACACAAAAACTGAATTATGATAGCACTACACAAACACATTCACTGCATTCTCTTGTGCACTGATCCAGCTATTTCCCTGGAACATGTTCACGATGCTCACTGCATAACTATGCTGTGACACACTATGCTTATTTTACGGTCTGACTTAAATGTTGGTTTCTTGCACTGTAAAAACATATTTCTTGCACACTCTTATGCAACTATGATGTTTCAACATGCAGACCCAGAGCTTCCATAGCTGCTGGCTGACAGGAGCTCTTCAACAGCCAGATCAGAGACTGCAGGCATGAGCTCATCACCTCCAAACTGCTGCATCCTGACCTCACCAGAGAACAGGGTGAGTCGAGGTCTGTCAGTGAGAACTGTGATGTCAATTAGCTGCTTTACTTTTCCAAACACCCACTGTGTCGAAAATGAGTCTGGTGTTATTCTTGATCTGTCACAACAGCTCAGGAGAGGAGAGCCAGATGCTGAGACTGTCATTAGAGCTGTTTATTATTCAAAGATTATAGGAACGCTGCTCTCTTAGCTCTGACCTATGCAGTCAAGAGGCAGAAACAGAGGAATAAACCATAAGGAAGAAATAAAAGTATCTGTGGTGAGGAAAAAAAAGGAAAAGGATGATGGGAGAGAAAGTAGGAGAGTTGAAGCCACAGACAGATTAAAGCAAGACACATGCAGTCTCAAAACACAGAATTTTCCACTGCCTCTGCACGGATCTTCATTATACAGTATATGCAGCAGGTCAAGTGTGTGGCCAGTGGTTTGGTGCACACACAAACATTTATGGGCTATTCCCTGTTCTTGACATGAAATTTTCACAGAGTTTAAATTACAGTCTGAGTGGACACAGCAGAATTGGACCCACACAGTGACACACTGATCAACATAGCAGGCACAAACAGTGGCACAGAGGGAGAAGAAGACCCTTACAGGGTTTTCTTTTCCTGACAAAGGGTGGTTAGAGTCTATTTTATCTTATTTATCATAGTAAAAACCAAAGACGAAATTAACATAAAAATCCACAACCATTTAACTGGAGGGCAAAGGGCAGGGGAATGAGTTCATGGTGATCCTGTTCCCACCAAAGTTACACCCTTTAACACTGTTTACTAAGTGCATAACATTGTTAGCACATTTCTAAACAAAACACAAAGCATACACACATGTAAGGAATAAATGCATTTTTAAACAGCAAGGAGGACACAGAGAAGGAAGGTCATCTACAGCCTCCTGTGATATGTTGAGCTTACTGCTACAGTCACAGTGTGTATATATTTACAGTGCAATCAAACAGCCCTGAGCATTACAAAAGTTAAAAAAGCAGCATCCTAGTGAGAATGTGTTTGGTCATACCAGCTGAGAATACCCTGAATTCTTCATATTGTATCAAATAATGTACTATATAGTCGCTCCAGGTGTGTGCTCACCTGTTTCTGTGCTGCATGTGGGGTCTACTTTTAGTTAGACACCTCTGGAGCGCACTTAAATTTAAGTATCTTTTTATGCTAAAAGAAATTTGATTTCGTTGCAATTGTGAATAGAAGTGAAGGGCTTTGGCTTTTTTTTTTATCAATTAAGTTTCACTTATCAACATGGGCTGCAGTCTGCTGAGAAATGGAAACAGGCTAAAGGACATTTCAGACAAGCAGGCAGTTTTCTGACTCCAACAACACTCTATTCACTCACATGTTAATAATATGGCAAAGTTTCAAATTGTGTAATAAAATTATTACAATATATTTTATGAACGTGCTTTCGTCAGAGGCGCCCTGTGGAGTTTTCTAATAAATAAAAAAGTTCTAGTTACACTTCGTTTCTAACCAAAACAAAGTGTGTGTATCCTTGAAGTCTACCAAACCTGCTGAATGCATTTACGTCCTCATAAAACATTTACAAAGCTGATTTTTAAACATTTTGAAATCATGACTAGTTAACATCTATGATCGTTAGCCGTCTTCTTCTTCACTGCTTTTGTTGGAGCAATGCTTTGAGTCATTGTGCATTAATGAAGCCCTGTGACCCGCAGGTCACTGTGTGACACCTGCAGCAATGATGTGTCCTGTTGCTTTTGCGCTTGCATGTGTGCATGTGCATGCAAACAAAACAGGACTCACTCGTTAAAGTGTTGCTCCATAGCACAACCACAGCTTAACATGTATTTAATACACACAAAAAGCTTCCACCATAAATGGGTTCTTCAAACTAGACAAAGAAAAATCTCTTTAAGAGTTTTACCTTGGAAACAGTGCATGCTGGGAAGTCTACTAATATGCTAGTTCATCTTCTCTGAAGAGGTGATTGAACTCTCAGCAATTCAGTCGATCAACTCCTCATTTCTAGTCAAAAGACCTCAAGTCAAACAGCTCGTCTCAAATTTAAAACCAGACATTCTAAGGATGAATTAACCTTGAATTAACAAGATATTTATATTAACTTAACAGGAAAAGATTAAAGGTGTAGCAATGAAAAACTCAACAAAGAACCTATAAAATGTGATTGCTGCATTATGAGCTAGTAGAAATCAACTGTTTATGAAGTGCTGGCTTAGTATTAAGTTGTGTTCTATTTTCCCACGAGACCAATCATTTACTTCAACATTAGGTTTTTAACAAACAAAATCAAAGCAACATATGACAAAAACACATTGCTTCACAGAATCAACCAATCAAAATTTATATAGCATGTTTAAAAACAACAGAGGTTGTACCATAGTGCTTCATAGAAACCCAGCTTCACTTTCTGAAACTAACAAAAATCATATGTCTGAGATGTTCTGAGGCAGCCAGTCTCCCTCTGCTGGTGTTTTTGTTTTGTTCTGGCCACTGAGGTGCTCAGTATAGTTTCTTCTGCTCAGAACACACACACACACACACAGACAAACAGACAAACAGATTACATATTGGTTTGAGATAAACTGAGCAAAACCTTTGTTTTCAAATCCTCTTACCTGCACTGATTTCTTTCTTGCTGTGGGGAAAATAAACAATAAGTAAAGAGTTACTCTGTTGAGCATGTTAATGTGTTAAACGGATATGAAAATGGTGGTTATTGATGATTTAGCATTGCCTGTAATTTGCCTGCTTTCTACCTGATGTGACTGTAGTAGTGAGAGTGACATCTCTGTTTAGCTCCTTTTATACATTCTTCAATATTCCTAATGATTTAGTGTGTTTAATTAGAATGTAATGAATCTTTTCCTTGTTAAGATAAAAGCGTGGACTAACTCCTCACACTTCAGCAGTACTGTACGTTGTCATATCATCACATCCTTTAATCATTCTGTGTATATCAGGATCTCCACACCCACCTGTGTGCAGGTAGTAAAGCAAGATGAACATTGTGACCACAGCCGTGCTGACAGTGAGGATGAATTTCAGGCTGCTTGGCCCTGAGAGGAGAAAACAGACAGGACAGAAGTGAGATGTCAGAGATGCTCCTCTGCCGCCCCCGTGTGGTGAGTCAAAGTACTGCTGTGAAACTAGCACCCTGCACTCACCTTGCACATTCAGAATGAAGCTCTTTTTGATGGGCACTCTCAGTGACTGGTGGGAGACGAAGCATGTAAACTGTTTTCCTGACTCATTGAGTGAAGCCTTGAGGTAGAAGAATGCTGAGGTAAAGTAGGTTTTGTTGGAGTTGTTCTCTCTGTGTGGTTGCAGGTGGATGTGTCTCACCTCACCCTTTTCTGTTGGGTTCTGCTCATACCAGTCTATGTCCACATCCAGAGGGTAGTAGAACTTCGCATCACAAACAACCTTCTTCTCCTCACCCTCCTGCAACGAGAGAACACGTTCAACGTTGATGGAGACATGGGGAGGTTCTGAGGAGGGGGAGGAAAATAAACCTATTACAGTCATAACTCTGTTGAGGTAGAAGAATGCTGAGGTAAAGTAGGTTTTGTTGGAGTTGTTCTCTCTGTGTGATTGCAGGTGGATGTGTCTCACCTGACCCTTTTCTGTTGGGTTCTGCTCATACCAGTCTATGTCCACATCCAGAGGGTAGTAGAACTTCGCATCACAAACAACCTTCTTCTCCTCACCCTCCTGCAGCGAGAGAACTTGTTCAACGTTGATGGAGACAAGGGGAGGTTCTGAGGAGGGGGGGGGAAATAAACCTATTACAGTCATAACTCTGGTCTCAGTCAATCAAGCAATCATTCGCAAACAAATCTAACTAAGGTTAAGGACTTTTCTCCATAACAACACATATACTGGACTAAAGCTTGGGTGCATTTTGTTCATTGGACAAATGGTGTGGGGTTTGTAGCAACTGATGTGTGTCTTCACAATTGACTGTATAAAAGATGGACGACATGATAACTCCCAGAAGTGAAGCCAGTGTGAGTCGATCGCCCCCTGGTGGCTGGTTCCACTATAGTTCATAAATTCAACCTCCATCAGCTAAACCAAAACCAGTACAAACAAAATAGATCTGGTGAACTGAAGTCAGTAAACTAGACTTTACAGCTGAATTCCATCTAAAATAGTGTTTGGACAACCGCAGGCAATATTTTTGGTAGAATATGTTCATTAAATAATATACAGGTCAACAGGGGGCAGTAGGAAGGGGATGAGAAGTCAAGAGTTAGTGGCTGAATGAGGAATGACAGGAATGAGGGAGTGAGGATTCAGTGACAGGATTGAGGAGTAGAGAGAGAGGCTGAAGAGTAAGGAGTGAGGTTCAGTTATTTTACATTGCATGGAACAGTGTTAGAATCTGTTTACATATATAAACGCATGAATAACAACATTTGAAATATTATTTCATAGTTTTCACATATATATTTTTCTCTGTTTTGTGAAATTGTTTATTCAGTTAGAAACTCAAACACAAGCAGTCCACCCGAGGGGACATGTGAAGAGTTCCTTGAACTTACTATCATATTCACACTAAATGAGGGCAGGTCCCTGTTAGGAAATTATTACTACTGAAGCTCCAAAGGCCAAAAATTGATATTTGCAACAGCCCAAGTGTGCCCTGATCCACATCACCTATGTGACTCTTGCTCACCTTCGACATGCAATTTCATATCCAGGAGGGCAAACAGTGGACTCACTGACACTGAACAAATGTACGTCCCCTCGCTGGTCATCTTGGTGAAGGGGACTGTATAGGAGGCATCCCCGCCTGCCAGGCTCATCAGCCCAACCCCAGTTCGCTGTTTCTGCCCTGAGAGGCTGTTATGGCTGAAGAGTCTGGTTCTCTCTCCCCGATGATGCCGGTGCCACTCCACAGTGAGGTTTGGCCCCTTGTGGTCAACAGCAAACTGGCAGTGGAGCTTTTGCTGGGAGCCCAGGCCTGCTTTCACTGATGGAGTTTCTGTTTTGATGACCATGACAACTACAGAAACATGACAAACAGAGAAATATCAGACAGAGAAACACTTTGGTTAGACTGTGATATAGAGCTTATATCAACTTTAGAGTTCCAGATTATTAAAGACAGCGGGTGACCTGTTGTTGTGAGTATGTCCCTGTCCCCGATAGCAGGCCAGCTGCGGTAGTCCTGCTGTCCTGAGAGGGGCTGGTCAGTTGGGTGTCTGAGGAAGCCAGTGACAGTGAACCTGCCCTTGCTGTGTTTCAGGGTGTAGCTGAACCAGTGGTTGTACTCCTGAGCCCCCTGGACAGGCCAGCGGACATGGATGCCCTCTGTACTGTACCTACGCAGCTCACGCTCCAACTCGTCTGCCTCCACCCCCTTTACATAGCGCCGCAGGTCCAACTTGGATGCTAGAACAAAAGAGAATACAACAGAATAGAAAAGAACAGAATAGTCCACAGTCTGTTAACTGAGCATGTCTTACCAGTGACCAGGAAAGTGATGGCATGTGGGTTAATGGGAGCATCTCCTTTTTGACCAAACTGCAACGTGGCCTCTCTGTATGTGTGATTAGTCTTGTTCAGAAACACGTGCTCTTCAGTGAACTGGCAGGGCAGCTCTGACATCTCATGGACACACAGGACACCTACGAGACACAAAATTAATCAGTACAGTCAGCTAACATTAAACATACTCTACTGTAGTACAGCATGAGCAAAGTGTTACAGTAATGTATGGCTGTTAGCCGTGCCTCGCTGGAAATTCCGACGAATTAAGTAATTTAATTACTACAGCGTTTTGGCCCTCACTGTCCAGGCAACGTGCATTGTGTCGGTTCCACACCCCTTCTTGCCAAGGAGACAAGAGAGCAAATGCCTTTACTGTCACAGTGGCGGAGAGTTTGTGGGTTGGCTGTGTAAGGCTGCGAAGATGCTCCACCCCGGTGGTGTGAAGGAATCTCAGTCGCTAATGGTGAACAGTCAGAATTGTGACGTTCTTCCAGGCCAGCAGTGGAGCCCCATGAGTCCTTGGACAACCCACTTCTTTTGAGGTCCACTGCCGAGTCACCAAGGATGCTGAAATGGCTCATACAGTTTGAGGGTGTTGTGTGTATTGTGCTATAACTCAGCTTTGCACTATAGGGCAATTGCTTCCTATAAAGTTTACGTGTCTTTGTTGACTCATCTGTAACTGTTTCCTACATACACACCACATTGCTCAGGCTAGCCATGGATAACTCGATCGTTATCAGGCAGAACGGACTTGGTTCTCTGAAGTGACACACCACTTCAGCAGCTATTTCAGGGACTGCTTTCTCACCTGCTTTCTGCCTAAGGTCAGAGACACACCAGGCCAGTGTGAAAACATTTATCACCAATGAAAAGCCAACCTCTGCATCATCTCACGTCGGCTCATATGCTATCTCATATGATATTATGCACCTCATCACCAACAGCCTGGTGATGCACCTGACAATCTTCTGTTTGCACTACTGTCACTGACTGTTCACGGTTCTTTGAGCAGTAGACTATTGGTTGTACCATTTAGTTTTATCCTAATTACTTTATTCCAGTTTCTTATTCTATTTTTTTTCTACTTTATTCTACTTTCATTTCCTAAATGATATGGCACTCAATACCAGGTTGAGAGAAACGGTATTTTGATTTTCTGTATGTCCTGCACATATAGTGAATTGACAATAAAAATCTTTTAACCTTTGAACCTTTATTTTGGCCACTTGGGTTGGAAATGTGACACTTGAGCACACCACACAGACTACAGCCAATGGCCACCACACAGACTACAGCCAATGGCCGACAAGCATGTACATTCTGCACCTGCATGACAGAAAACTCCCCTGACATGTAGAAACTTAGAATGACGTTTAACCACACACACCCAAATTCATAGGGGCAATTTAAAGTCACCAGTCAACCTAAGCTGCATGTCTTTGGACTGTGGAAAGAAGCTGGAGTACCCGGAGAGAACCCACGCAGGCACAAGGAGAACATGCAGACTCCACACAATAAGGCATCGGGTCTGCTGGGGCTGAACCCAGAACCTTCTTGCTGTGAGGCAACAGCACTAACCACTACCACCTGTATATCATATCATATCATATCAGTGTGGCCTTTGGTTGTGTTTGTTCAGGCGGGCCACCTTTTGGATTGGGTCTAATTATCTTCAGGTAGAGTTGGATTGGGTCCGGCAGAGCTTGAGTCCTCCTCGGGTTGGGTCTTTATTTTTTGAAAATTAATTTATGCACAACGGGTTCAGATCTGTTTTCCATGGCCTATTTTGGGTCAGGCCTAAAGTTTTGGACCTGTGAAGACCTCTACTCCCCTCTGTTGTTCCTCTACTCTATTAATCACTGAACTGTTTTCAGTGAGCCACCATCATCACAATGCTCACAGCCATGGGTGTGTGTTCGGTGTATTTTTACCAGACTGGCTGTTTTTTTTTAATTTTCACATTCTTCCTGGCCTTGCTGGCACAGGAAGGGAGTATATATGCTGGAGTTTTTTGTACTCTGTTCATCACTGGGCTGTTACGGTTCATAACATTGCTCCAATGTCATACAACAGTAGTGTATGTATTTGTGCTTGTGGGCTCTGGATGGACCCAGTGGGGCACAGTCTACATCCTGCTTCAGCTTTATACCAGTAGTGATAGCCTTAGAGGGCAAAGCCTATACAAAATAGAACGTAGGTTACACATTGTAATCACAGAGTATATTTGCAGCCCTCTAAGCTATGGCCCCACTGGCTCCTTTTGAATAGCTGAAGAAAAACTGGTTATTTGGGATCAGACTGTGTTCTCATCACTATTTCTACTTGACAGCTAATGTATGTAAGGCCCACACAGCAGGTGGGTGCAGAAAAAGTCTCAGTGTTGTGCATACGTGAGATGTTATCTAATAGTGATAGCCTTAGAGGAATGTGCCTATTGTCATAGAATCTGTAGTTACAATGTGTAGCCAGTATTTAACAGCTAAGCTACATTTGGCTCACTGCTAACAGTTATCTTAGCCTCTAATATAAACGCCAATCTCCAGATTCTCTGTTACTAGATTATGTTTTGGATCAATCAGTGAGCAAAAATAAAGAGATACTGACATACTATCAAATGTTACAAGACAGTATGAGACACGTACCACTGCTGGAGTATTAACAGCAAATCATATATGACATGACAACAAAGGCCTGTTCTGTTGTTTACCCTCTGGGATTATCATAACATTAGCTATATGTAATTGCTATAGACACCATTCAATACTAAACCCATAGCATATGCACTGTTTTTTATATAATCGATGAATATTTTATAACCTTATATGGTCTGTTATAACATAAAATTAAATATGATCAGCTACTGTTGCACAATATAGGCTATAAATGTGTTGGTGAGCTACAGCTTATTCACTCAAAAAAACAAAGCAAGACAAATAAAAACCAATTCAGACAAAAAACATTCAATGATGTTGTAAACAGTCAGCTAAACAAAGCCTATACCAATGGGAAGATAAAACAGTGCTTTACTTCCACTTGATAGTTGATAGTCAGTCAGCACACAGCCTGCCTGACCTGCACTGGATACTGAAAAATTCGAAAGTTTGATTCATTCTGACTAGCAACCCGTAAATATACCAAGATAAAACTTAAGAATCAAACTTCCCGGCACAACATGCTATGTGGGGAAAATGGCGGTTGGCACATTTACATATATTTGAATATTCATGGTCCTGGAATTCAAATGAGGGGAAAATGTTATTATATTCAAATATACAGTAAATATTGACATTTCTCTGGAGTGGAACTTTAACCTCTAGAGTCCCTGCGTCCTCATATGAGGACCGCACAGCTTGGGTTTCCAAAGCTCAGCCATATAAGTACAATTTTGAGTTATCTCTACCTTACTAGAGTATTTTCATTTTCTGCCTCTTTATACTTCAACTTGCATGTTTGACTCTATATTTTAGTCAAATACGGTACTTTTTTACTCCACCTAATTTATTTGATAACTTTTGAAACCAGATGTGTAAGACAAGACATCTTGATGCTAATACTGTTGTATTTAAAAATCATTTTGAATGCAGGACCTCTACTTGTAACAGAGTATTTGTACTGGTATTTCTGTCATTAATTAAGTAAACAATCAAAGTACTTCTTGTCCTACTTGTTAGCTCCAAAAATGCCACAATCTGTAACAAAGCTGCAGTCAGTGACTTACCTGCACATAGGCACAAGTAAATAAGCATCTTTAAGATTAAACCCATGATGATACATTGGTAGAAATCCCTTTGTAGCAAGAGTTCCACTCTGAGCTGTGCAGCTGAAGAAGGTGCACGTTCACTTTCATTTCACAGGACAAAAAACTTGCTTTGCCTGCAGCTCCTCCTGTCACGTGATACTTCTTCCACCACTGTAGTGTAGTATAGTGGTTTTAAATTTGTGTAATTTTAACTTGTTTTCTATTTTGTTAGTTTATGCGTCTTAACATGTTCTCCTTTTATTTTTATATGTTTTGTTGTGAAGCACTTTGAGCACCTTTGAGTGTTGTAGAGCGCTTTTTAAACAAATAAATTAAATTTGAAGTAAATTATAATGAGCGCTGTAGTTTGTGAATGAAGAGAGGAAGCGGTGCTAGTAAAATAAAGCACTGAATCAGAGAAATAAAATGTTACCTCCTTCTCTGCAGTTCCCTGCAGGTGTGGCTATATTTATTTTTTCTAAAGCACAAATAAATACAGGCACACCTTTATATCACCCTGCAGAAAGCACTTTATGCGAATTCAGGGAATACATGGGCGTACTCCTATTGTCTGATCTGTGCCCTGACCTTGATCAAACAGACACACACAGAGCTGAAAAACTGGATGCACTTCAGCACTTAGATTACACTACAGATAGGGCCATTGCTAGACATAAAGCTCTACGCCCCCCCCCATTGCTCAAATTGTATGCTGCATGACTGAAATGTGCTATATGAACATCCCTTGCTTAGCTCACTATTCCACTGCCATACTGCTGCTACTGAAACCACATATGATGAAGATAAAAATGTAGAGACATTAATCTTTATGAAAATATTTATTTCAACATACATTAAGAGCATTCTCAACGTGGTTTATGGTGTAAAAGTCTGGCACTGTATTGCACATTTCTTTGCCTTCTTCTGCATTTCAAAATAACTGATTTGATTATCAAACAGCCCTAGTTTGATTTGTCAGATTTAAACTTTCACAAGTTAATCTATGAACAAATCATTAAAGCAAACAAACAACTGTCTGAGTTTCTCTGTGTCCCTATAGTGCAGTGTACTTTGTTTGAGTATAATACAGTTGGAGAGGTCCTCTCTACTTGTCATGGCTTTTGGTCCCTTTTCCTTCAAATCTTTCACAACCTTGCTTTGGTCAGCTGCACACCTGTTGGTGTTGTGTAGCATCTCATCTAATTGTATCTTTAATTTAATTTGTCTGCCCTTTCTTCAGCAGTTGCTAACTCTTCTAGGAAAGTTTCGTTTTCAGTCAGCAGAAACTCTATTATATTCTGTTAACCCCCGGGGGTCGGACAATTAATAGAGCATTGCTTAAGTTGCTGTTTCAACTCAATGTAATTTGTTTGAGACTCCATTTTCATACAAATGGATCGGTGTGTAATGTTCTTACCCAAACAATGGCACTTCCCCCAGGGTCAGTCTCACACATACAAGCCAAACTGACGGTCCAAAACACAGCACAGCAATTAACTTAGTAAAACATGGTCAGATAAGTCAGCAACACTAACACATAACAACAATGGGGTAACACATAAGAACACTTTAACTATAATTTTATAACTGCTCTCTGTACTATTTACTGAACTCCCATGATGCACCTCTGCATCATGCAGCTGCCACCAGAACCCCCAATGGCTGACGTGGATCGTCACAATACCCTAGAGGTTAACTCTATGGGCCCTATGTATCTCTGTAATGCTTTTACTGAGCGTTTTGACCGATGTATGTATGGAATGTGTGGAGTCTGGCCTTTGTTTTGAGCCGCGGCTAGCGGTGTTTTGATGGATTATAGTCGGTAAAATATGACAAAATATGAATTGTATGCCCTTGCACTGCGCATTATGAGCTAGTAGAAATCAACTGTTTATGAAGTGCTGGTTTATTATTAAGTTGTGTTTTATTTTCCCATGAGACCAATCATTTACTTCAACATTAGGTTTTTAACAAACAAAATCAAAGCAACATATGACAAAAACACATTGCTTCCCTAGGGGACTTCAGATGTTGCTCTTTTGTGCTTTATTGCTTTTGCTGTGTTTATTGTGTGGGAAAATGGTTTATATGACGTTGTAGTTGAGGTTTCGCTGAAAAATTTGATGTATACATTGTTGGGGGTCGGCTGTCACCACTCGCGTAGCATACCTTCATGTTGTGTCAAGCCCCAGGGTCCCCTAATTAGGGGACCCGTGGCCACCCTTCATTGTATTAGCACATAACATTGAAGTAAATGATGGAAAGTAATAAGTCAGACAGAGTCTGAGAATTCAGTTAAAAACTGCAGTGGAAACAAGCTCTTAATACATTTTTTAATATAATTTCAGTAATACAAGTTGCAGTTGCAAAAACGCCTTCTCTGTTCTATGAGGCTCTCTCTGTGTGTCTTCTTCTTTCCAGCTACCAGAGGAAGTACCCTTACAACCATGTGGGCCGCACATTGTACCAGCCTCCAACCCCGGTCGCCTCCGAGACCCAGTATTTCTTTGTGGATGTGTCAACCCTGTCTAGCCAGGGTACAAACTACCAGCTCAGGGTCAGCCATGTTGAAAGCTTCACCCTGCAGTGAGTTATAGCTGATATAATCACACAAACACACAGCATGATTGCTGCCTGAAATCTTACCTTAATGCTGTCAGACTGTTTTTTATATAGTAACAAAGCAGGTGCTTGCTGGTATGTCTGATGTGGTGTTTTCACCTTGATTACAGGACAGACAAGAAATTCAACTTCACTGCATCACCATCTCAGCCTCAGGTATACAGTATACCATGATACAACAGCTTTGTGTTTGACACTAAGGGGGATATTTACTAAGGTTTTGCGGCTCGTTTTCTGGCGCTAAACAGTGGAATTGCCTGTGTTTATATTTGCTAAGCAGTCGCTGTGGGGTTTTTTCACAGTAAAAACAGAAGAAAAGCGGCATTGCAGGAATTTGGGCATTTGGCCTCATGCAGTATTTATTTCAAGGTATTCCTGTTCAGGGATGCAAAAATCAGAGGAGAGAATGGATATTTTTACAAATACTCTCAGCATCTGATTTACCACACATGACAGAGGGAATTGCAGCAGAAATTGAACAACTGAGGAAGCAGTTCTGTCGGAAAAGGGTGGCTTGTTCTCTTCAGGTTGGTGGAGAGTTCCTGCCTCAAGTGGAGGAGTTTAAGTATCTTGGGGTCTTGTTCACGAGTGAGGGAAGGATGGAACGGGAGATTGACAGGCGGATCGGTGCAGCTTCTGCAGTAATGCAGTCGATGTACCGGTCCGTCGTGGTGAAGAAGGAGCATAAAGTTTGGTCACTGTAAACTTAGACCTTCTTCTGTACTTCTTCTCGGTTCACACGCGCGCAACAGCCTTCAGGCAGCGAATCCGAAGCAGAGGTGGATTCAGATTAATACAGCTGTGGCTCTGCTCATACACAGCATCAGTTTTGGTAAATATGCCAGTACAGGTGTATGTGTTTACAGACATGAATCCCCGTGCCTGATGATAATGCACAACGGGCTTAGTAAATTTCCCCCTAAGTGCTACTTTACAACAGAAGTTTGTTCACAGAAACATAATAGAGGGTGAAGGTGGGAGGGGAGGGTACAGATAATGAGAAGCGGAGGAAAGTACGTCTTAAAAAGAGGATGTATGAATAGAGGGAATTTCTGATTTATGATGAACGAGAAATTTATGACACAGCTTTTCTTGCAGTTGCAAGTTCTGCTTTTCAAGACAAGTAAAAGAGAAAAGGAGAAGAAAGGAAATCTTCAATTTTCTTTTTGGCCTTTTATAGCACCTTTAAGATAAACATTATAGTCCATCAAGTCAGTCATGATGGTCCCCGAGTACTTGAGTTTAACTGCATTTGTGTCATCATGTTGTGTTTTTTGTTGTGGAAATCATCACATCTTCATGCATATAGTAAGTATATAGTGAAGGAAAATAGGAAACAAATAAAATCTGTTTAGTTATTCATGTCTTCAGCAAATACATGATGCTAATCATATCCCCTCTACCTTCCTGACTCCTTTCTCTCAGTACTTCAAGTATGTCTTCCCAGATGGGGTGGACACTGTGATTGTCAAGGTCAACTCAGACATGAACTTCCCCTGCTCCGTTATGTCAATCCAGGACATTCAGGTACAATTACGCCACTTCCTGTTCCTTCAAACCAGGCAGCTGGTGTCCTTCAGTGGCCCTTTGCACTGTGCTCATGTAGTAGTACTCTTTGGCAACATGAGGACACAGTTTATTGCTACAGTTTCAGTGCAGAGCGGCACAAACATTGTTAATTTATGATACAATATATGCTGTCCTGTTCCATCTTTATTCTTTGAATGTTTCATATTTAACTTAA